GTGGACGGACTGTTGGCAAGTTGTCTGCTTATATGGTTAATCGACCCATTGCCCATGAGGAAGACGAACGCGATCCATGGCATCAAAGAGCCGTCGACATAGTAAGCTATGGTATATGCCCCTACAGAGCTGTAGAGCAACGTTCGCAATCCATCCCAGAGGTCGAATATTCCCACCAGGTAAAATATTGAAACCCCAACTATAAACACATTCTTCTGCCATGGCTTCGAGTCTGGTATTCTTTTCAAGGCGGCAGCAAGAGGGTACGAGAGGAGGAACGAGGTGATCAGCTTTACTGTTTGGGGAGTGATATCAGTAGTCGTGGAGGGAAAAAAAAAAGAAAAAAAAAAGAAAAGAAAAGAAACAAGAAACGGGCCTTTTTGGTGCTAGACGTACGTTCGTCAGTGGAAGCCCCCGTTGCATCCGAAATACGTGCGAAAGCTGCCGAATTATGCCTATTAGTATGTGGCCCTGCAAGAATATATATATTGAGGAAAAGCTTACGGGCGTCCATGTATGGCAGCATGTTGGGGTTCCAGGGAGCCTTAGTTTACGAGGAAGGATTGCAGCCAAACAGCATCACACGAAGGAGGGAAGAAACAGAGGCTTGTGAACTTGCAGGGCTCATATTAGAGGGCTCAGTTCATCTCCGCCTCCGTAATCAAGCGTTGTGCCGTCTGGAGGATGTGGAATGGAATGGTGAGAGAGAAGCTCTGGAGCTCTGCTTGGGTGTTGGAATGTGGGGCTACCGCGGTGCCAAGTATTTCCGCACACTAATCCGCAGGCGGTCTACCGTTGGGCAAGTACCTCTCCACATCTCTGCATATTGTACGGAGTACTCCGTATGCTTTCTTGACATCCTGCTATCTATCCTCCGCACGGTGAAGCAAAAGGCATGTTCAAGGAACCCATTCCACAGCTTTCAATACCCGAGCAACATTTCACCACAGATCCCCATGACCTTGCGCTTGGCCCTCCCGTCCAGCGCAGCGACTTTGCAGCGGGAACCAATGGGCCATGCAACAATCCATGTTCAAGCACAGTTTGCCGGTGCATCCTGGCCTAAAATAAGCAACACACCCGCCACCGAGCAGAGGCAGAGTCGGAATTGAGAGACGCTACATCAATGAAAGGGAAATGCTCGACGTTCGTTTCGGTCTTGGTGCCGACGAAATTCATGTCAACAAGGCCCGGACACAGCCTGATAGGTTGTTCTGTCCCTGGTCCCGGTGTTTTCGATGCACTTGTGCTGCAAGACACCAACATCGCATTCTGGACATTGGCCAAATCCTGATGGGCTTGCAAGGTGCAACCTGATGGGATGGGTCCAAACACCTGCTTCATAAAGGCTCGCTATACCCTGAAAACCTGTGCCGAACTCGAGCCTCAAGCTGCCAAATAATCCGGCATCCGACATTTTCACTATTATTAATAAACAATAGTCACCAAACGTTGGAGGTAGCGCCGTCCCATCCGGCCTACTCCATAGTTGTGTGCTCGCGGTTGCGTTGCTTTACTCTTTACAAACAAGAGTTGTCCATTTTGCTCGCTCGATCACATCATGGTGGGAGATGCGCGCGATAGTCTAGATGGAGAATGCTCCAATCTAGGGGACGATGAGTAAACATTTCTGCCAATTTCTTTCTCTCTTTTTATATTTTTCTTTTTCAATACTCGCTGCTAATTAACAGAGCAGGCTCAAGCTCAAGTTTATACCAAACACAACTGTGTCTTCTCATCACCTGAGGAATTCATCAGTACCCTCTGTGAAACTTCTTCTCGGCTCCCCTTGCTTGGACGAGCTGCCCTTTGGATATAAGCTTCGTCGTTTCTGGCCACGATCTGTCATTGGTGTCATCGTCCCTCCGCTGGTTACGGGGTATTATACGTTTTTGGTCATGTATTATCTGGAGTCTCAAAACGAAGACATAAATCATTTGAAGGTGGGGCCGAGAGGGGCGAACTTTGCGTTTTGGAGCTGGTTCCTTATCGGTATGTATTTGATAAACCCCTAAACCCCGATGTCTATAAGAGACCTGGTAGCTATGGATCTAATCCAGATTCTTCAGGCGTTTTTGGATTGAACCTATCGCAATATGGCCTCATCGGTACCGAAGCGGGAATTTTGATGTATAATCAATCTCTGGGACCCAAAGACGCACTCCAACTGATGATGCATGCGGACCGGACATGGAGTGGCCCCAGCGGCTGGCTAAAGATACTTCGAAAATCTATGTTCCTCTGGAAGAAAGACGAACGGTCTAGTCAACGTACTCGAGACCACACCCCATCTGGTTTATTCTCCTATTTTTGAGTGCTCTACCACTTGCAGCGCTTCCAATCTCAGGTCTATGTATGGAGTCTGGGGATGGTTACGTTATGCGAACGTCGGGCTCATCAACGCCGGTTGTTCTGGGCCGAAATCAAGCGAACTTCGACTTCAGGAAGATGGCTTCCATTTATGAGAGGGCCTCAAACGATTGGAAAACAGGAGCTCCCGTACGCATGCCTGGGATCGGCGTGATGTCAAGGTCGAGCCTGAAACGCTTGGAACATGACTTCTCAAAAGATTTCCAAACACATTTCCTCCTGATTCAGGAGTTCCTGAGATTTTCCTGGCCCCACAAGCACCTGTTCCAGTCTTGGGAACAACAAGCGGTCTCCTAATTCGATATAATTGCACATCCGCCTCTAAAATTCCTGACTTTGCGATTCTAAATCGTTTCCATGAGCGTGGAAACAATTCTATGCCAAAATATGACTCCCAGAATAGTAGCCTTACTCCGAACTTTCATGAACGAAGAATAGACCAGGACGTTGTTTTCCTTGCGAACTATCGAACGCCCAAGGTTGAAAACTATGAAGCTGTTCTAGAATTCGGTATGCCCGGGATTACTCCTAGACGATATCACTCTGAAAATGAAACCGTATCACCTTGGGGCATTGAGAAGGATTTTATCTCCGAGTACATTTTGTATCAATATCTTGACTATCCGAGTCCTATGCTGGCCAATAGAAGTGCTGTCGATAAGTTCGGCGAAAGCCTTTTTGGTTCGATGAACATGGAACTTGACGAACCTATCCCGGATATTGCAGAGAAGTACCATCTCGAAAACCATCTCGAAAACCACTCAGCTGGTGGAAACAATTCTGCCAACACGATGAAAGTTGCCGTTGGCGTAAAGTGTACTTCGGCCTCTGATTTCGGGATCGCGCACGTTGATGGCACCTCTAACACGTTCACAAATTTCAAACCTCTCGATGTTATTCCTGCTCCAGACAATACAATACTTGGGGCCCCAGCTTTCAGCCTTGGCGCAACGGGTGCTTTAATGTTCAAATTGACAGAATACGACCGTCTTCTTGGATCTATAGGGCCACAAAACATACTTTCGTCCGTGGAATGTTCAGTGTACATCGATAGTGGCAGTAACCGCACGTTGATAGCTCCCAGCTATGTCCAGTCCCGGCAACTCAGGAACTCAATTCTCCAAGCCCATGCAGCGTATGCGTTGGAATTAGCGTACGATGGAGTCGCAAAATATGATAACCTGTCGCAGTATATCCGTTATTCTAATGACTCCTCGAAGGGTCCCAATTCCGTATACCATTCCCGCAGTTTCTTCAAGCACGGAAATTTAACCACTACGACGCCGGGGAAAGTTCTTACACGTGGCCCGTTGAAAAACGTATGGGTTCCGTTATACTTGCTGGTCCCCTGGGCCCTAGGGTCCATGACGCTTGCTCTCATCTACTCGCACAGGCCGAGATGGTCCGAAACATTTGATGGGTACAGCCTCTTCCGCTTCGGGGCTGATTTTGCGGACCAGGTGAAAGACCGGCCGGAATTTCTGAGCACGGAGGACTACGAAACGTGTGGTGCTTTACGGGACCTCCCAGGATTCATTGGTGATTCAAGACCATTGTTCACACCAGGTCATGTATCGTTGGTCAAGAATAGCATGGCAGCGCCAGATAAGTTATATATGTGAGCTTTCGGTGTCACAATAGCTGCGGTTTGGCAGCAGGAGACCACTTTATGGGAACGGACAGGGTCCAAAATATTTCAAGTGGTTCCCCCAATATGACATTGCTCATATTCGTGTACGTTTGATGGATAAGGATGAACCGGTATTCCAGCCCCACCATTCAGTTCAATTTTCTCTTCTAGTAGCGAGCCTCGCTCGTTTACCTTTAGTCTACATGGTTACCTTCAATCGAAGTGCTTCGTGATAGAGTAGTTCGAAGTTTTTCTGTTCCTTCCTATCAGCACACAATTGATTGACAAGGGAGTGTCACTGTTTCATGGGGATTCTTTTCACGGCGGCTATCCGATGCACGAACAACTTGGTCTTCCACGAGGAATGTTTCTTTACTAACGTAAGGAAGGATATGAACTTGGGCTTCCTCACTCTTTCACCGCTCATCATTCAACCAGTCCCATCTCTCAGTCACCCAGAAAGAAGAAGACGGACACTCCGGAAATTCATACCCTACCAGGACAAGCTCGGAATACCAAATCAAACCACAAGGCCCAAAATTAGAGGCTGCCAGCAGAGTGGATTAAAAATCCCCAAAACCGTGCCAACAAAGCCAATAGTTAATGGTGGATATAGGTACATAAAACAAGGCTTGTACGACTGCCCTCTCTCATCTTATCCTCAAGCATCGGCAGCATCCACGGATCCGTAATCAAGATTTCATGTCCAATGAATCTCTCTCTCTCTCTCTTAATAATCCGAGACTCTCGTCACAAGGTGCCACGAGGATATCCATCCATGAGAAGCATCACAGGCAAAAGAAACATCAAGATGGGGAAAAAGCTCACCGCTTCATTTTGGCCATTATTCAGACCGTTCCATCCGCAAGCAAGCCCATTCATTCATTCATTCATTCATTCATTCATTCATTCCGAAACAACCCACCCACTCGCTAATTCCGCGCACTAATTTCCAAAAAAAAAAAAAAAAAAAAAAAAAAAAAAAAAAAAAAGGAAATAAACAGGAACAAGCCTGTCATTCACCGATTTTTTTTTTCCCCTTTTTTTTAGTTGTTTCTACCCGCATGAGGTATAAGCCCAGGCAAACCCTATTATTATTACAAAAAATCGAAAAGAAAATACATAGATAAATACATATAGATACCTAGATACATACATACATCCATGAATAAAGTTGCCATGGTGCACTGGGGGAGATCCCCAAGCCACCAAACCAGGTCATCTATCTAATCGCGAACTTCTCCTGCGCTGTCGCTCCCACTTTCTTTTCCACACAACCCCGGCAAACTCTAATGGTGTGACGCGCATAAAGAGATAAGAAAGTCTTTTTTTTGGAAAAAAAACAAAAACGAAAAGTAAAAAAGGACAAGCATTCAAACAAATGCCAGGATGCGTCCGGGCTTATTAATTATCGAAACATTCCATAACCATGGCTGCAAATCATCATCACATGACAAGGGCATCTACAGGACGGCATGAAGAGGCAGAGCGAGTTGAACATTGTTCGTATCTTCTGTTTGCCCTTTATATTTATATATATATTCCACTTACTTTCCCCTTCCCTTTCCTGTATATCTGATCTCCTTAATTCTCCATATCCCGGACCAGATTATTGCTTCATTTCACAATTAACCCGAACACCGGAACCAAGAAGAGGGAATGCGGCCAGCAATCGCGGGGGCGTTTGTACTCCAGCAAGGATCATGGCGGGGGGTCTCGGAGCTCAAAGGAGGGGATACAGCGGAAGTTGGAATAATGAGAAGGAATGGCTTTCTGGCCACATACTCTCCCTCTATCCACACACACACACACACACACACACACACACACACATGCATACATTGTGGGCTCTTTGCGAGGGGACCCACCCCGGAATAACCATGACTCTCACCCCTTTCCCTGCCCACTAGGTCCTTGTTTGTTTGCTTTGCCAAATTGGCATATGGAATATGCAAAGGCGGGCGTCCACTTCTTTGACGCAAGCCTGGGATTGGATCTACCATTGTTGTTATTTGTACGCTCCGTTTGTGCATTGCGCCTTTCAAGGCTGTTTAACGTTGAATTTGTGTCTTCAAGTTCGCATCTGCCATTTCAAACCCCGGGCTGGGGGGGGGGGGGGAGGGGCGTGGAATTGAGAAAAGAACCGGTTGTTTTGAGCAATGTCCCTTACCTCAAAGCCGGAACTTAGGAAAATAGAGAAATCCCAAGACTCCGGGAGCGGTGTTCCAAGAAAAATATGTACTT